CCCAGCCCCGGACACCAAGAACCACCAATGGCCCGACCCCTGAGGGCGCCAATATTCTATTTTCCAATTTAAGCAAAACTGCAAATTGTAGCCAGTTTCCAGTTGTTAGCTGACAGGAGCTGTAGCCAGTCTGTGTCAAGGTTTGATATGTTGTGCATTCATTGATGCTCATCGGTATACCACTGGTTACTGTAACCTTCCTATGAGACATGGTCAGTTTTATTTTAGGTTTATTTTTATTAATTTTTCCAATTAATATTTGATCTTTGATTTGAGCCTCATGCCCATTCCATTTAATATGGTTTGAGTTTTAAAATGGAAAAAAAAAAAACAAACAAAACTAAATCTGTAAAGTTTTAATTATATTTGCTGATACTTTGAAAACAAAGAGTCTCAATATGGCAAATACTATGCAAGCATTTCAGCACTGCACATTATCCCTCAAACCACAATTTGATTTAATTACCATACTTTATTTACTTCAAAAGAACCGAGCATAAAACCTCCATTACATGGCATAAACACTACATAATGTCCTATTCATTACAGTAGGTTTCTAGTGATTCAGGGGCAGGATCGCGTGCCTTAAAATTATCGTGTAATCTGTTACATTATATAATTTCATCTCGTTTTCCATAGCAGTTTTTAAAGAGTGCTTCTGCATATTAGCAAAGGACAAACATTTCCAGCAGATCTCAGTCTTTCAGTACAGTGATTATGTCACAATAGTCCAACTACATCTCATTCCCACAGTGCAAATAATGACATTAGAATACGAGGAGTGGCATTTACACCTTGTTATAGTGCAGCTCTGGGAGAATAATACCAAAATGCACTATATGGCAGTATATACATGTCACTTACAGGGTTAGCTTTCTTTCCCTTTCACAGTTAGCATTTTCGTGAACACAGATTCATGGGTGAAATGGAGAAAACAGGATACATCAGAGGATACAGGAATAAATACATCTTTTTAAATGCATGATAATTTATACTGGTATATATATAGCAGTTCTCTTATAATGTATGCAGATAGCTTTCAATGTTGTTTGGTATATATTCCGTTAATGTAGCTGCGTGGTTAATCTCCTCCCACAAATCAAACACTACCAGAAATTAATTTGCATGTGCTTCTGTGTGGCGTGATTAACAGTTTTAATGGTGCATAACACAATCCCATTTCAGTTGCATGGTGTTATAATTAGGACATTTTGGGGCCCAAAGGAAAGAACATGTGAAAGAGTAGAAGCCCAACACCCTAATGTGCCCACCCAGGTGTCTTATGGAGCTGTAGAACTGTAGAGTCTAGGTTGGCTCATGTGATCATCCTAGGTGCTCATCTGACTGTGCGTGATCATTTAAAGTTTCAGAAATATCACCAGCTGATTAGGTTGTGAGTGGGTTGTCTTACTTGTTCTAGCTTTCACATTTGTTGGAAGCTGTCAGGTTTTGGAGTGGGGACCTGTGACAGCTGCTGTCACTTGCGTCTGTGGTGTGTCAGTCAGCGTGCATTGTCAGTGTTGTGGTGTTGAGGTGATGCAGAGGAGGAGAGATTCTGTCACTGGCTTGATCTGCTACCTCATTGCTTCATCCAGTTCTCTCACTTGCCATCCTCGTGTCATTGTATAAGCATGTCTATCCTCCCTCACTCAACTGTAGACTATAGGGGGTACATCATCCATCTCTCACTCCCTCTGCTGAATGCAGTAGCAGATCCTGGACTATAGAGGCAGTCTGATGTGCATGGCAGAACTATTAGGCCGTGCAGCCAAAATATAGATGCCACTCTCCCTCAGGAAGTCTGCCCAGGTCACTGGCCTGTGTAAAAGAAAGAAAGTTTGGTTAAAAATATATATA